GCCCGCGAGCGGCATCGACGTCAAACTTCACGGTTCTTTCCTTTTCCCATCAAGGTGAGCAGAGCACTACCATATCCATGTTCAGCAGGGCATTTACATAGCTCTGTCTGTCTGTCTGTCTGTCAGTCAGTCAGTCGGTAACAAGTTGACAGACGCCACAGTACGTAGGAGGAGAAATAAATAGGCCACGCTCACGCTGGCTTTGGAGATTTTGGCTGGCAGCAGCACCAACAGAAGAAGTCCGGTCTCCGGTGTAATGCAACTCATACTATTGTCGTCAAGTAAATTTCCAAGCTCTGCGTCTCATACATACATAAATTTCTCTGCATCGCCGAACTAATTAAGCTCTGTTTCTGTGATGGGACCAAGAGCACCCAAATCCATTCTCACACACAACGACACCGTAACAAGAAACAACACACGTACATGAATTAGACCGGCGAGAGAAAATTGGTAACTGAGGTGAAGTATGTGTCTATTTAAGCAGGCTATTGTTCTGCTAGCCTAGCCAATGCTTCTTCTTCCTTAGCAGCATGGCTCCAGCAACCATATTTGCATCCCTATAGATCTGCATAACTCTTACTCCATGGACCTGTTGCAAGCTGCAACTCAATTCATCACCCTCTCTCCTCGGCAGCCAATCCTGACACGTTTTCAAGTCGGTTAACCTCATAACAACAACATGTGTGTAATTCTTGCAGTTGCAATTCTGAAACGTTTTCAAGTTGGCACACCCATTGCTGGAGTACCTCATGGAATCCTCTCAATGATTGAAACAACGGCTAGTGTTTTGCCAAACAGCTAGTGGCTTCCATCAATGATCTCAGCACCATTTGCCAAACAGCTAGTGGCGTCCCTCTCCAGGTCTTCACATCGGCACATAAAGCCATCAACGTCCGTCTCACAAATCTCCCAGGATCATGACTGGATAAGCAGGCTCAAGAACAAAGCTGACCATTTCGCCAGCAGGTCAACAAGGAGACAGCACAAGGTAATTCAATAGCGACAGCTCCAGTCTTCAGAGCCTCTGGATGCTCGGGGCGAGGCGGTAAGTTGCCGTTAGATGAAGATCGGATGGTCGACACTGCGCCTGGTTTGGCGCCAACAGCTGGGTGTCGATTTCTTCAGTTAACAACATGACAAGTGTCGATTTCTTCAGAAGACGATGCAGTCTCGTTCCTGAAAGAGATGAATGTGTAAGTAATTGCCATGGTTCTGCCGGTCAGGGTCAAAATATTTTGTGCTACAAAGCCTACAGTAATACTGAATGACCGAAATACTAACCATCGTACACACAATATTTTGTGCTACAAAGCCTACAAAGTCTCATTGCAGCAATTTAATTCTAAGCTGCAGGCTATGCTTCTTCTAGCCTGGGCTGTGTTTCTGCTGCTTCAGATATTACGGGGACCAGTTGCAAGTAACTCATCACCCTCCTTGGCAGCCGACTCTGAATGTTTTCAAGTCAATTAATTTGATAAGAACATGTAGCTATCTTGCAGAGTTACAGTTCACTGGGGCCTATTTACCTCGCATGAATGAACCTCTGCTGTGTTTTAAGCACACCCTGCTGGAGTCATGGAGCAGGTCTTTCTCCAGTGAGTCGTCACACCTGCAAAATTCGACCAGCCATTCAATTATAGCTAATTATGTCCCTCTTCTGGTACTCAGAGCAGACATGAATAATCCCTTGTTACCTTTGCAGTGCAAGTTTTCGATAATAAGCTGCATCTTGTGGTATTTGGGGCTTAACTAAAATGAAGCAGATCTGAATATTTAAACCTGACCCTGATACTTTTCTTGCACAAAACTGACCTTCGAAAAATCTTTCTGCAGCAACAACTTGACAATGTGTTCTGCAGCAATTCCTGGGAGGCCAGTGTGCGCTTGGACGGATTTGGTTGGTACACTGCACCCGAGGAAGAATAGAATGAGGGGCAAGGTATCAAGGATGTCACAAGGAACAGTTGGAAGTTAAAACTGCATCCACCGAACAGCACCATTCGCGTGCGGCTATTGCAGTAGAACAAGACTGCCTCAGTCAACCACACCTTTCCGCAAACTCAATCTGTTGCTTCCGAGGAGATTCATCTACAAAACAGAGCAAACATCAATAACTGAGATTAGCTACCGACAGTACATGCATGTCTGACTGAAATAGGTAAAAATATACCACGGCAAGGTACTTGCAGTCCCATCACGGCAGGTTTCACATGTAAATAGTTGTGGGCACAGCATTAATCGACATCCCGATTCACTGTTAATAAAGGTAATTTACATATTAATGATGTACCGAGATGGAACAAACTAGTGTTATTTATAAATAGGCTGCGATTATGCACCTTAGTGCCATAGTAGAATTTTACAATTTCAAAATCGCACATGCCCTGCAATGCATTACCTTGAGACTGCTACTACTGCTTATGATCTGAACTGGCTCCACACGTGCACTGATATCCTATGCCGATTATTCTTCTGAAGATCCTATACACCATTAAATTTCGTTAAACAACAACAGTTATGACAGATGCGAGAATACCTGGTATTAGTAGAACATAGACTGAATTGAAAAACCACAAACCTATCAGTTGCAAGTATACCTGGATGGCAAAACCGCAAAAATGATCAGCAGAAAAACACTGACAATTCATCGTTTTCCATAATTATGCCAGATGAACCTTTGATCCCTAAAACTGAAGATTTTCCAGGCACACCTTCAGTCTTCATGAGTTTTGGACAAAATGTAAACACAAGTAGCTTGAAAGCCCACCAAACAAACATAAGAACACCTGATCAGAAAGTCAACAGAAATTAGAAAGAGATGCAAGAACACCTGGTACTGACAGCAACATAGCAGTATATGAAAAGAAAAAATCACCTTAAATCAGTAGCTTGACCCGAAGTCTCATTTATTCAATACTGATGTCCTACTCCTATTTTGATCGTGAAAATCGTGACACCCAAAATAGGAGAGTAGACTGTCACGTCTTGATGAATAACAATAACCCAAATTTAATTGCAAAATATGAAGAAGCCTATAAGATTGAACAAACACCTGCACACATAACAAAAACAAATGGTGATCACAGGTTTTGTTGGAAGAAAAGAAGATAGACTTGCAGAAGGCATTGGCTGATAATGACGTCAATTTTATAGATTTGTGGAAAGAAAAAGGGCGTCGAGAAACAAATCTTAAATAGTTTCACTACCGTTGAGAAGAAAATGGGAATCTGATATGGCAGGAGTAAAAGTGGATTTTTTTTTTCTTTTTGTGGTTTTGCATGTGATGGCTCCACCTGAAATTAGAACCAAGAACCAAGAGAGAGCCCAGTTATAGTTCAGTTCAGAAGTATGTTGTTGAGAAATCTCAATCAGAAAGGTATTTTGGGTGCAGCCCCATGTGCTTAATCCCCATCTTATTTTCTGCTTCTCCTCTCACATCTACTTTGCTTCAACCAAGTTATCTATTCGATCTAATTTCTGGTTGCTAGATAGATCAACTTCTCTCCTAGTTCATACACTTCTCTACCAAAAATCCCCAAATATTGTTGTTATTAGTGTGTGGTGAAAGATCAGGGCCAATCAGCACACGTGGTGTCTTATCAGATTCCAGTTTAGATGTACTTACCAGATTTAAGTACAGGAAAGGAAGACCACAGCCACAGTCATGCATGTGTTTGAATGGGGAGGGAAGAGCTCTACAAGGTACAAGGGAACTCCAAGGCATCGTCCTGCACAGTGGATGGGAACAAACTATGTGTTATTAGGAAAAAACACACACAAAAAAATATGTTTGTGTTACCTTGGATCAGTAGTCACTGCAGTCTATTTTGATTTTGGGGACGGTTCCCACTAACCCCCTGCACTGCTGTTTCAGCTCCTCACTGCAGCTGAAGATATCTAGCTTTTCCAGTGAATCCGAGAGGGCATCGTTGGGCAATGACGAGATGGCTGGACAGAACTTGACTGCTAATCTCTTGAGGCTGGTAAGGTTACACAGCCCTGCAGGGAGTTGTTGAAGATTGTGGAATTGCCAAAACTCTAGTTCCTGGAGGGAGGAGAGGAGTTGAAGGGCGTCCTCGTGCTCCTTGCTGAACCACTCCATCCCTTCACACCAATTCCCAATAAGTTTCAGCTTGGTGAGGGAGGAAGAGAGGAACCTGCAGACGGGTGCGGCAAGAAGTCCTGTCACGTCATTTGTTTTAAGCTCACGCAGTGTGGATGAAACAAGCTGTGCCTGCTGCTCTTCACCTCCCTCAGCATCTTCCAAAGCCCGTCTGGGATTGGGATCCCAATCAGCAAAGAATCTAGGGCTGTGCATGACATCTAATTCGTTGAGCTGGCCCCTGGTGGTAAGGAGAGACCACAAGCCCTGACATTTCAGATCCTCTCCACAACCTTGCAATTTTAATCTGGTGAGAGAGGAGAGGTTTGAGAGGGGCTCCAGTGTCCCCATGCCTTCCACATCCCAAAGCACCAGAAACTGCAGGGAGGAAGGGAAAATGTGACAGGAAAAGGAGAAGGTGGATAGAAACTTTGGGGACCACTGTATTGTTAATCTCTGGAGAGATTGCAAGGCATGTAGCCATCCTTCTCCAGGAACAAGAGTTGGCGGGTCCACCAGGACCAGCTCTGGGCAGAAAGAGAAATCCAATTCCCGTAGTGAGTCACGGAGATGAGCGGGGAAGAGCAGCACCCCATCATCCTCTTCCTCTGCTGCTGCGGTTATTTCACCTCCCCCCATCTCTGATACTTCTTGTGTTGTCTGTTGCACATTCACCCCCACTACCAGCTTTTTTATGTTTTTACACTTCCGTATTTTCAATTTGGAGAGCTTTGGGAGGTGGGGAAGGAGCTCTGTCAGTTCCTCGCCAGTATTACCAGTTAAGTCATCGATCTTGATATACTCGACATGGAGCTGCCATTCCACATCACTCTGACCTCTTCCTAGTGGTCCAACTAGACCAACTGATTTTTTTACAATCAATGTCCTCAGCGAGGTTAGCATCAGAAGGTGCTTCAACTCCAGAGGTGGGCACCTCTCAAGTGTCAGCTTCTCAAGACTTGTTTCTTTATCAAAAACCAGTACTTGATCCAAGCTATGCAGATCACCCTCTCCAATAATTTTCAATTCAACTCCATCGGACGATTTTGAGTACACAAACTCCTTTAGCATCTTTACATATTTCATCCTGATAGAACGCAGGCTTTCGATCCAGGATATGGGAATCACTGGCAAGAATTCAGGACAGTCATGTACCTCAAGCTCTTGTAGCTTGGGGAACCAATCTGGGGAAACAATGTGGTTTGAGAAAGGCAACCACAACAGTTTCGAGCACTCTCTAATAACCAGAACTTGCAAAAGAGGGAACATATGAGTATCCGGTGGCAACAATTCTCCACTAATGGAAGACTCTTGTTCAGCTGGGTAAACCCATTTTTCAAAACTTCCTAGGCCAATGAGTTTAAGCTTTGTTAGCACACAAAAGCTTTTCTCTATGATAAACTCCTTCAGTCTCGCAATATGCTCAAACCTTAATTCACGAAGATCCCATGCCTTCCCTAAAGAAGGGAAAACTTCCCAAGAAACACCATCCAGATAAAGAGATTGTAGACCTTCAACAGCGAACTCATCACCCAGCCATGTTGGACAACAAGGACCTCCGTGCCCTCTAATGCACAACACTTGAAGATCTCCATGTGGTTGAAGGCCCTCAAGAACCGCTGCTTCCACACCAGGCTCAACACTAGACCGCTTAGTATCCCAGCTCAATGTTAACCTCCTCAAGTATCTTTTCTCCATCAATTTTGCTTGAGCTGCTTCTTTTGCTGTATCTATCTTCTCAAGTTTGTAGATGCCAAGCTCCCTTAGCTTGGTCAAGTGCTCTAGTTGCTTTGATTCAAACCCTTCACTTTTTTTATTGACTTGAAATACCTTTAACTCTTCTAAGAGTTTAAGTTTCCCCACATTATAAATATCAGAATGAAGCTGATCATCACTTGGGACATAAAAATGGCACAATTTGGCAAGGTTACTCATGTCTTCGGGCAAATCATGGCTGCCATTCCACAACTCAAGATTTAGAATCCTTAAATGATAAAATTTAGAGATGCTAAGTGGTAAAAGCATCTCGCTCTCCTTTGTCCCTAGACATAGGTATCGTAGATGGACAAGTCCTGCAAAGTTATGTAACATGGACTCCACAGGACAAAGCATGCTAGGCAAATGAAGAACACGAAGAGTATTTGCTTCCCCAATAAAATCACCAAATATCTTGACAAAGCATTCATCCATTTGTCCAAATAACATCAATGTTTGCAAATCTTCAACTTTAAATCTTGTCTTTAGTTCTTCCAATTCACTCTTCAGTTTTTTACCAGACACTGCATCATATTTACATAAACCATATGTGCTTATTGACAAGTGACGGGTGGTTGGCTGAATCTCTACTGATCCAACACCAGGGAGACTTAAACTAAGACAATCCTGAGATGCAACCTTCAATGCCAAATCATGCAGCAGGTCATGCATAACATAACGCAGACCATACATAGTTTTCTCTTCCCTGAAAAATCCATGGATGACTAACTCATTTAAATTGCTCAGACCTATGTCTTCAAATATTTGGTCTTGCCCATTGGGTATCAAAATATCTAGTCCGATCCATAGACTGGTCAGCTCGTCGCTTCTGAAATTGTAATCTTCAGGAAACAATCCAGAATAGGCAAAACATTGTTGCAGATGGAAAGGAAGAAAGTCATAGCTAAGCTTCAAGGCAGGCATAATTTCATTGTCATCGGTCTGCTTCTCCCATCCTCTACTTTTTAGGACCCTTCTCCAGTGACGCAAACTAAGGTCTTTACTCAGTAATCTACCAACCGTTTTTGCTGCAAGAGGGGAGCCCTTTAGTTTTTTCATTATCTTATCTCCAGTCTCAAGCAAAAATTGTTTATCCCTTGGATATTGCTCATCACCAAACACAAATGCAAGGAATAACTTTCTAAACTCTCCAGATTCTAAACGATTCAGCTTTATTGACTGGCAAGGTGTTTCAACCATCTGTGCTATTGCTTCAAACCGAGTTGTGACCAGAATCATGGAACCCTTTTCCTCTGATTTATTGAGTGTCGACAATAATTTTCCCCAGTCATCCTCATTATTAATCTTCCATATATCATCCAATACAAGTAAGAACCTTTTAGATTTCAATCTTTGTTCAATCAACTCTTCTGTTGTACTACACTCTTTTTCACTTTCAACTCGAGGGGTGTATGTTTTAATCTGTTCTAGCACCTTATCCAGATTAAAATGGAGTGACACACATATCCAAATCATGACTGAAAAATGCTTCATCACCTGTTGGTTGTGATATATGTGTTGTACGAGAGTTGTCTTCCCCATTCCCCCCGAACCAACAACCGGAAGCACAGTTATACCCTTGTCACAGTATTGATCATTGGTGATGTCCTGTATGATGCTATCCATGACACGGTCCCTCCCGTACAGTTTTGGCTCATCAATTCGCCCCTTGGTGATAGGACGACACTGGGCAATGTTTGAGACACTCCTAGGGTCACAACTCTGCAAAAGGCCATTAACATCCTTCCGCACAAGCTGCAATTTCTCTGTGATGTCCTTCATCTTTTGAGAGAAATCGACCCTATTAAACTCAAACTTTGGCATTTCTTGCACACTGCCACAATCTTTCTGACGAATATGTGGATCCCGGGAAGATGAGCAAGGGAGGAGTTTACCAATCAGCTTGGGCATGCATCCGCTGACTTCTTGAATGGTGCCTTGTGCTGAGGAGGATTCGCCGGGTAACCTCTGCCGGCGCTTAGCATGCTGCCAAGGGCAACAGCTGACCAGTTTGCCAACAGCTTTGGCGGTGTGGCGAGCATTGAGGGCGAGGTCGTGGACGCCACCCTTGTCGTGCCAGTCCACATGTGCCGCTATGCCTGGTGTTGATACGAGACCGGATCACATTTGGTTTGGCTGCTGGATGAGCAAGCAAATGGGCTTCTTCAGTATTGAGGTGTCTACTAACACACTGTAGTGAACTACTGAACTGAAGGAGCCTCAGTTATTGTGCCCCTGAATAAGTGATAAAGCTCAGGCCAGTGACCTGCTTGAGCCTCAGGTGCTTTATAAAAGAAAAAACAATCAATAAAGAGGGAGAATATGATGTTCAAACGTGTTGAGAATTGTGCCAGTGTGTCGCAAAAGTACTTTGCAGCACCTGTTAATTAATCAGCGATTAAACAAAGCTAATCGGGCTACACCTGCTTGCCTAAGGACAAGTGTGATGTGAGGCGAAAGCACTAGGCAGCTGCACAAAGCCAAGAGAGTAGTAAAAAATCAGGCTATTAGCTGCACTTGTCAGTTGTCACACAGATTCAAAAAATGTACAAGGGGCTATCATCATTCATCAGCTACAAATAAGCTAGTAATAACCGATACTAAAAACCAGTGTCGTACACATCAGGGATCGGCTTGCTGGTCTTCTTGAAAAAATGCAACAATTATTTCAGTTCGTGAGGCCAAGGCTCTGGTCGACAGTTGTTCTACTAGTATGAGAGAACAGCGTGCAAGGTTGCACAACGCTCAGGTTTGAGAGTGCAAACAACACTGGGGTTCCATTCAACCTATGCAGATATGCGTGGAGTTGATACGAGAGAGGGTGGGATCAAGAGAGACCTGCAGTGATTCATGCACTTGTAAACCCTACACTACGGCTGTGTCATACCTGGCCAAACTGGCCGGCGTGGCCCGCGACGGAGAAAATTACATCTACGGTAATTGAATTTGTCTCTAGGGTTCACTTTGGTCATTGTATTCACGAAACATAAAGTTACGGTCACTAGGCTCATTGAACCGGGTCAGTGTACGGTAACTCGTACCATTTTGGCTCGTATTTTGTATGCGTGGATATATTTGACCCAAAAAACGGTTTGACTGGCCAACCTGGACAGGACACGTCGTCCATTTCATAAATCCAATTCCCCTCTCCTCGTCTCTCAAATCGCTAGCTCCTTCCCCTCACCTGTCCTAAAATCCCTAGCTCCTTCCTCTCGCCTATCTCGTTGAATCTCGTCTCTGTTCCCGCGACAAATCTACGACGGCATCATATCCACAGCGGCGACAAATCGAGGGCCGCCATATCCGGCATGGGTAGCTCATCAAGTAATGTCATGGTCGCTGCGGGCTGGCTCCCTTAGATCCACTGCTCCTGATTGTAAGATCCGTCAAATCAGGCGGTTTGAGTCTGGCACAGACAAGCATCTTGGGTGGACATTTTACAAGTGCATGAATCATAAGGTTAGTAAGAGATGAATCCTTGCGTGTTGTTTTGAATCTCTGATCCCCTTCGGAATTGTTTTCTCAATTTTGTTCTTCATTTTGTGAAATAGGTCCGGAAAGCCCTTGCAACTTTTGGCATTGGGAAAAGAGTTACATTCAATATCTAAAGTAGCAAGGACATCTCATAAGTGAATCTGTCGGCAGTAAGGAAGTAGAGATGACAAAGAAAGGGAAGAACAAGATGGAAGTGGAACAAGTCTGCACTGAAGAGATGGTGAAGATGACAGTGCTGTTAAAATCACTGTCAGGAAGTGTTTCAGATTTGGTTGCTCTTGTGAAGATAGTTGTGCTGCTGTTTTTTGCAATTCTATTTGTGTTAGTTTTAGTTCTAGTTAGGATGTGAGTGTTGTCTCTGTCATGTAAGAAGTTGGTTTGTGGGATGCAAATTTGTGATGAGAGAAAATCTTTTGAGAAGTGCAAATGTTTATGAGTTCATTGGATATTTGCAGTCTGCAATTTTCAAGATCACAAGAAATTCACATCTATTACAGTATATATTTGAGGATATGAACACTTTAAAATATAGAGCTGCAAAATGGAACTTAAATGGCACCATTTGCACCACATAATTCACATCATTTACAGTCTGGATTTGACAGTTCAACACTGAGAAAAACTGAACTTAATAGCAACATTCACACATTTTCAGTACAACAATGAACAATGATCACTATTTCTTCAGCTGAGCAGTGAATTAAGGAAGAAAGTTCAGAACTTCCTAACATTCAGAAAATTCAGAGCTTCCTGTAACATTTGAACACTGAAAAAAACTTAACATGAACATGAACATGAACAGAGCTTCATAGCACACAAATGAACAGAGCTTCCTGTAATACATGTGCAGTCTTCCCTGAACTTCATATCCCAATTGTTCGGCTAAATCTTCCAACTTATCCACAGTCAGTGCATCCCCCTCAACATAATCATACCATATGCTTTTTCCGTTCACGTATGCAGGATTTTTACCAACTCCAAGGAAATAACCATCGAAATTGATGCAAAGACTGAAATTTGATGCATAGTCGATTGTTTCTGCACATGAACAGAACGATATTAAAGCCTAGGTTAACAAGCAAAAATCACTAGCAGAACAAAAGCCCTAGAACAAACAGTAGCAGTAATATCAACAATCTAAAAGGAAATACGAGTGTGCACCATCTAAATCGTGAGATTAACGACTTTCAGAGAGAAAGGGGGTTTATAGAGGTTTTCAGGGTTTCAGAGATGCTTACCGTAGACAGCGGGTGGGTCTCCCTCCACTCGGGGACGAGGCACCATGGTTTAGCTTGCTTCATCGGCGAACCCGCGGGCCGCCGCTGCTCCGTCAGCCTACAGCTCCATCGGCGGTGACGAAACCCTAGCTGATCACCTCCCATGACCGCCTCCCCTTTCTTTCCTTAGCCTTGGAGAAGTCGATGTGAATTATGGGGAGAAGCCGAGCCGTCCTGAATGGGCAAGGAGGAATATGCAAAATAGCGCCATGGTCGCTCGCTTCTTTATGAAATGGACGACGTGTCCTGTCTAGGTGGCCAGTCAAACCATTTTTTTGGTCAAATACGTCCACGCGTGCAAAATATGAGCCGAAACAGTACGAGTTACCGTACGCTGACCCGGTTCAGTGAGCCTAGTGACCGTAACTTTATGTTTCGTGAATACAATGACCAAAGTGAACCCTAGAGACAAGTTCAGTTACTGTAGATATAATTTTCTCCCCGCGACGGCATGACTAATTGGCACGGCCTCACAACTCAAAAAGCAACCAAAAAAAAAGAAGACAATAGTATCCACAAGAAGAAAAACAATTAGCAGCACTGATTGAAAACAATATCATAGCCAAAAACACCAAACAACTGGTCAAACATCATTTCCGTGCAAAAGGCACATGATACAATTGGGATGTTTTTTCTTAACTGGCCTATTCCCCTTTTCATTATCTAACATAAAGAGATACAATTAGTCAGTCTTACACAAGAGCTTGAGTAAGGGGCAAGACAGTGAGAGAGCGAGTTTAGAGCACTGTCAGGAAACTCGCTGTGCACGCTTGCAATCAAAACTTGCATTGTGGGTTGAAAATCTAACGCACAACATATATGCTAGATGTTGGAAATATGAGCAATTTACTGAATGATTTTATTAACAAAAATACTAGATAAAGCATGACTAAAATAGCGAATATAAAGCAAGTCATGCAATCTGACAGAGAGAAGGTAAACATCGTCTGCATATATGAACTTGAGCTAAACTCATCTAGAACAGACACTAGATGAAGTTGCTAATACGACATAGAACCTAACATACGTAGGGCAGAAACTAGAGCCAAGAACTGTAGCAGGACTTCTAACAGAAAGGAGAAGAACACGTACGGCACAGCAGCAGCAGAAGCGCTGGACTTGGGGTCGGTGTCCTCGCCTGCCATGTCGTTGAGGAGGTCGTGGACGTCGGGGAAGAAGTCGTCGTCGGGGAAGTAGTCGTCGGCGACCGGACCGTCCGTGATGAAGCAGCCAGTAGTCACGCTGAGCGCTCCCCGAAAACCTTATCACCCTTCTCCCGTACAGGACTCAAAAGGTGCGGTCTCGGAGGCCTACTGTCCCGACGTGCGGTGCACGCCGCAAGCCGGGATGAGGAAGAACGTAGCTGCAGCGCAGTGTTCAGGAACTTGTGGCGAGAGGAGGAAGAGATTCTGGTGCATCTCTCTAGGAGGAGCGACCTCCCTTTTATAGGCGCAAGAGAAGGAGGCGAGAGGCTGGGCTGGGAGCTGAAGATAACGAGGGAGACGAAACGAGCAGGCAGCAGGCGAAGAGGTGCGCCGTTCGTATTCAATCTCCACTACAGCAAAACATTTCAGCTTTCGCGTGCCCTTTCGTATACCCGTAGTGCGTGGCAAAAATTTACATCGGCTTGGCTCATTCCCGCGGCGCGGCGCGGCGCGGCGCGTCGTGACGAGGCGAGGCGAGGCGAGGCGTGGCGTGGCGTGGCGAGGCATGCGGCGGAGGAGAAGCACGTGTGGATGTCCCTTTTATTCTCATGCTCATATAAGTGGGGAAGGAGCCTCCCTTATAAAAAGGTTCAACTCCCTCTAAACTAGCAACGTGGGACTAAACTTTAGTTCCACCTCTTGCCTTGCACGAATGGGTTGCGTGGGCCTCTAGGATTTATTAGGAATTTCTGAAACTGCTATTGGGCTAGGCCCAAATAGACAAAAATTCCAGCAATCCCCCACCAGATCCCAGAGGCACACAAAATTTGCCTTTGGTTCCAAAACACTGTTTTATATACCGTGGAACTTGACTTTCCCATTCTTGAGCCTGGCCACTACTTTGTTTGATTTTCTTGTCCGGGGTACTGCAGTGGAGACTGTTAAGTTGAACTTCCACCTAGAACTCTATGCTACACTAGTAAGCAACTTGAAC